AGTAGAAGTGGCCATATTCTGAGAATATCCGGAAGCTACAGACAATATATGCCAACAGACTGGATGTAGGGTAAGAGAGTAAGGGCCAAGGATGGCCATAAAGATTTTGCCTAAGCAACGGCTTGAATAAGATACCTAATTAGCCAGTGAAGACGGAAATTTACTTACAGCATGAAATTCCCTTCAGGATCTCTGAAAAGAGAGATAAGGGGAAAAGACAGGTAGAATGCTGCTGGCATTAGGAGAGTCTATAAAAACAACAGCTGTCATTTCAAAATGGGCAGAGGGAGCATATGGAACAACTGGATGGTTTTCTACACAATGTGGAATGAGGAGAGACTGGAGCCCTACCTACCTACAGTATTGTAGTGAGGATTAAATGGTATAAAAGCTCCTTTCTCTTTTATAAACTTCCAAACGCCATCCAAATGTCAAAGTTATTAAAGAGGAAAAAGTAAATGTGACATGTGGGGAATGTCAAAATGACCACACACACACATAGTGTGCAACTAAATATCTGACATTTAAATATAAACCAGCTCTATACTAGAGCCAATGTTATTAGCGTCATTTTGATGATACTTCAGTAAAAGTATGTTATAATGCTATATTATGCCCAGATTCCTTAGGTGTTTAAAAATAAACAAATAAGAAAAAAAAAAATCACACTGTTGTGGGATGAGTCAAGATCCCAACAGCTGCAAAACAGCATTATTTTTAATGAAAACATATGTTCCAAATTGCAAACCACTGGGTTTCCATTCAAGTGTGTGAGTGAAAAAACACAAGAGCCAGGGAATTTAGAAAAGAGAAAGACAGACAAAATGAGAGATAAGATATAAATTCCTTTCTCCTTACACATGGCTCCCTCCAAAAAAAAAAAAAAAAAAAAAAAAAAAAAAAAAAAAAAGAGTCTATTACCACAAGTAAAGCAGATGCTCTTTTTCCAATGAAGCTGAACTTCCTGAATCTTCAGCATTACATAAGATTAATGCTGCCTTCACATAAAAACAAAATGGTATATGAGCTTATTAAATTCATTTCTTCACAGTCTTGAAAGCCAATTAATGAATCTATTCCCCCCAAAATAATATACCCGTTCTTCAGTAACGCTGGATAAAATTGTTCCCGTGAAAATATACTCAGAATCAAAAATGTTAATACTATGAATCTATACTGAATTAATCACTGTAAGATGTATTCATTATTTTGCGTCTTGTTCCACAAGAACTTTTTTTTCCCTTAATTCATGGCATTACCTCTTCATTTTTTTTTTCATCCCTAGATGAAAAGTTCACAAAAGAAAAGCACACTTTAAATGGAAAAAACATGCACTGCTCATTGAATTTAGGAACAAATTAACAGAAAAATAAAAACAATACCTCTTGTAAGTGTGAGTCTTTCTTTTTGGCTGATAAATTCAAATGCTTATCAATTAGACTATAGTTCTTTTCTGTTTCTTTGTCAAACTTCTTTTTTTCTTCCTACAAGTCAGAAAACACAGACAACTATGATTAAACAGGAGGGGAAATGTATGCGCAAAGTTTATCTACTAGGAAGCTCAAGATATGAATAGTATCTAAAAATAAATAAAGTACCACCGAGTGTGAGGAAGCTATCTGAAAAATCTATCTGTACCCATGCCACTGATTACGAATCATCAAAGCAGCGTTAGGATTAAAGAGTCACTCATCTTTTCTTTTTTTCCTTTAATGGGCTTTTTACCGAGCACATTAGTTTTCAACTCTTCATACTTAAGTGCTTACAATTAACACCATGTCACTTGTCCCTCGTTAAAAGAAATAATAATAAAAAAGAACACAGGGTTAAAACAGCAAACTTGTGCAGATTTTGGCATAGAAATGGGATTCTTTTAAAACTGAGTAAATTTTAGTCTACATAAAAAAAGGAAGCATCATCACAATTGGGGGGAAAAAATCTTGGGAAAGATTTTAATTGTCCAGTGTGAATTTAACAATAAGACCCTCTGATCAGAAACATCATCTCCTTTCCCAAACTTTCCCAGTGATTTCTGTTACACTATTCAGAATATGTATCAACAGATCAGTCTACAGGGCATAAGGTAAACACTGACACCTTTGTACTGAGACTCTGTGATTAGCATTACAAACATCCCTCAGGTACTGCCTAGAACCAGCATTTGCTTCCTTTGTCGATAGAAGCTTTTTGAGAAAACAAGTATCCTAATGGTTAAATACAGAAAAGATAGACGATCTCCTCTGCCAATTTAAGTGGATTTTTAATAAACATTTCTGAGCACCAACGAGAGCACACTATGTCCTCATGCCCTCAAAATGTTTCCATTAACTTCAAACTCTCCCTAACTCTCCAAGGGCTCCTGGAAAGGAACATTCTCTTCCCTATTTTCCAACTTCTATTTTCTAAAGCAAAAACGAACATTTCCCATCTTTTCTGATATGATCTTTTTCTTATTAGGCAAAGAGACTGAACAAAGCACGTGAGAAGTCTGTTTCTTCACATTTGTCATTATTTTTTCAGGACATGGGACTACAAAAACTGTGGGAACCTAGGACAGAGCCTCTGCTGGCTCATCCCACACGGAGGGAAGACAGTCAGTCTCAAGAACGGATGTTTCTTCCCATTTCTATTCCAAGTTGAATTACAAATTAGCTACACAACTTTGAAAAAAAAATTCATAACACAGAACTTTAGTTTTCTTACTGAAGAAGTCAGGGATTTTTTTTTCGTACTTGCTCATTTTTAGATCCAATCCTAAAATTCTGTGACCCTATGGATCACCTACGTGTGACAACAGTCACACTTTTGTTGACACAGAGGCACTTTTTCTTTATGCTCTCTAGGTTTCATTTACAACTATTTAAAAAAAAAGCTTAAGGCATGAATACACAGTTACTCTCTTTTCTGCTTTTTATTACTACAGTTTTCATCAACTATTTTGGTGACTCACAGAAAAATAAAGTAAAACAAACATATGGCCACTGTTTCAGAATCTCCACTATTTTAACAAGCTGACAGTGTGGAATGCATGCTGGATCTGGTGTGAGAAAACCAGCTCTCGTCCTGGCCACTTAGGACTGTGACTGCACCAGCCTCACAGAGTTCTCTGAGCATGTTTCTCACGTTCAAACAAAACAGGAAGAGAAGGCATTCCGCTACATTCACCACACGGTTACCGCAAGGCAGGATTGTGTAGTAAAAAATGCTCCCTAGTGCAGATTCGTACTTACCAGGAACACTGAAAATATTTTTACGCATTTGATTTCATCAGATTCACAGAACAGGACAAAGGAAGCAGTGATGCTAAAAAGAGCAGTCAAAACACCCAGCACACTCAGCAGCAGTGGGGTTTGTAAGTTAACACGTGGGTAAAGTTGAGAATGAAAGAAAGCGGGGGTATCAAAGGCTTTATGCAGAAAGAATTCAGCCAAGAAAGAACATTCCACCCACCAACGAGAGTGGAAATGCGTTCGTCCACATGTGGTATGGCGTTATACAAATGCTGATGTGTTTTGTTTTTAAATCTTAAGACCTAAATAAAATTATTTCTTCTTGCATTTGTTCTCAATGCCATTACAGGGTAGTATTGTTTCTTTGTGCTCATATGGCTTTTGTGTTACACATGGGAGTATAGGCTAGTATACAAGC